ATTTAAACCGAAAACTGAACTGAACCGTTCAATATCAAACCGAAACCGAATTGAACCGCTCAATGTCAACCCGTTACGGACCGTAAACCGATAACAAACCAAACTGCTCAAATCCGAACCGAAACGAAACCGAACATAATGGTTTATAAACCCGTTAATGACCCGAACCGTTTATATACCGAAACCGTTAAACCGTAAAAAAAACCCGTTTAAACCGAACCATTTGTAACCCGCTAACCGTTTAAACCGACCCGTTTATGAACCGAAACCGTTTAAACCGCAGGAAAAACTGTATAAACTGAACCGTTATAATCCGCTAACCGTCTAAACTAAACTGCCATAACCCGTTAAACCGTTAAAATCGAACTGTTTTCGAATCGTAACCTGTTTAAACTTATCCGATTACAAACTGCTTAATTCAAATTGAATTATTTACAACCTAAATGGCTAAATACAATTAATATTAATAAATGTAGATCTAATCAAACGACTTATGTTTATACAAAGGTTTATATAACCTAGATCTAGTCCAACGACATTATTAATATCGTTTTAGATTATTTATTTATTTTAAGGATATTTTGGATTTTAACACCTGACAAAAGGCTGAAAATGGTTTTTAACACCCCCCAAAAAAAAAACTTTTATTTTAACACCTCCCAAAAATATAAAAGTTGGAAGTTAACACCAGTTAACGATTTCCGTCACGGAAATTTAACGTGGGTCCCACAAATTGGCTTCAACTTCAATTTTCACCCAGCAAAACACGAAACTTCCTCTCTGAACCTTCATTTCATTGATTTTATCCATTACAGATTTTTGGTGCTCATAATTTACAGATTTACAGATTTTTGGTGCTCATAAATCAAACCATACAAAAAATAAATAAAAATTCAACACCGGTTCATCTTCTCCTTCGTTGGAGAACAAAGCGACTGAGAACTTCCATTTTTTTTACCACCAATTCCGCCGCCCATAAAGGGCCCTGTACGGCTACTGACCAAGCCTTCGCAGCCAGCAAACATGTTAACTGGGGACCGGCCACCAAAATTAAATCAACCACCCAAGAAACCAACCTTGCCCCATCCCGTTAGCCACCCAGCTCCCTCCCCGACCGACGACCGGCGAACCCATCCCACCCCTTTTCCCCACAAACGCAACCCAACCCTCTCCCTTTTCCCCTGCTGCCCCGACCCAAGCCACCACACCGAAACCACAATCAAAGATCTGAATCGCCGCAACCACCACCACTACCACCACTCTTCTGCAACACTTTGCTCCAAACCCTAACGAATCGACCCGCCTTAACCTTTTCGGCCACCCTAACCCCTAAACCACCACACCGTAACTTTTTTCGGCAAACTTAAATTGATTTCTAGACGAGGTTCGATGGATCTGCGATTTGCTCTGATTTCGGGAATTGATGTTGGGAATTGATTTTTTGCGGTTTGAGTGAGGAGGTGGCTGCAGGGGTTGCGATTGTGGGCTGGTATTTGGAGAGGAGCTGATTTGGTTGCGAGAACGGGGAAAGGGAAGGGGGGTGGGTTCGGTTGGCAGCGTAGGGGTGGGGGAAAGGGAGGGGGGAGGGAAGGGGTGGCAGTTGAGGGGAGGGTGGGCAAGAACGAAGGAAAGAGTTTGGGATGGCAGCCATGAAGATGAAGGGAGGAAGAAGACGAAGAAAAGATGAAGGGAGGAATAAGAAGAAAAAATGGGATGGCAGCCACGAAGGTGGGTTTCGTAAAAAATTGAAAACGAAGGAGAGTTGAAGCCAATTTATGGGACCCACGTTAAATTTCCGTGACGGAAATCGTTAACTGGTGTTAACTTCCAACTTTTATATTTTTGGGAGGTGTTAAAATAAAAGTTTTTTTTTGGGGGGTGTTAAAAACCATTTTCAGCCTTTTGTCAGGTGTTAAAATCCAAAATATCCTTATTTTAATTAATATCAAATGTAACATACTAGTATTATTATATATTTATATATATACTTTAATTTAACAAAGGTAACAATAAATATAAATTTTAAAATAAATACAATAAACATTACTAAATGTAGATCTAATTAAACGACTTAGGTTTATACAACGGTTTATATCAAATAGCTCTTGCAATCATCTGGTTACATCTGAGCTTAGTGTAGAATTTGATATGGTTACTGAACATATGTAGTCTAGGCGTCTAGCACATTATCATCTTCCTCTTCCTCAGAATCATTGTACTTTAATCTCTCTTCAATGCTCATGTTTCGGGTTGAATCATATTCTCAAAAGTACAATTACAAATCTCCTAGACTATCAATACTATGGAGTTACAATTTCCAATTAGTTAATCACAATTCACATTTATACCACACCATTCAATTTAAAATTTGACTAAGTTACAATATCATTCGATTGTTAACAACTTAATAATTTGAAAATTCAAAAGACCCATTTGCCTAAGAAGAAATTAGACCAATTCGCAATAAAATCCAATATTATCGCATCATGACCAAGTTTTAACCAAACCTCAAATAAGCCCAATTTCAATCAATCCCAAATACAGGAAGAAAACAAACAATTAAAACATTATTCCATAATATACAAATTAAACCATTCTTTAGCCACAATTATTTCATAACACTACCACAAATCCAGCAGATAAATAGCATTAAAATTAGAGTAATATCAACAAGCAATTAAAAAAAGTCACCATTTTCATTGATTAAAATTCACAATACATATACCAATACATAAAGAAACTACTATCACTACTACCCAGATTAGATTTCAGATTTATCAACTGAAACATCATCAAGTTTGGGGTTGCAAAAAATGATACATGATAAGATGAAGGGTGGAGTGAGAATGTGAGTGATTTGGGAGCAGAATCTTGAAGCAGCAGCACATCACCCAAGAGCAGAGGAAATAGCAGCAACAAGCAGGAACCAGCACACGCAATAACAAATCAGCAACTTATTAGAAGCAAGGAATAATATAAGTAGAAGGGACTCAACAGGAACTAATTTTTGTTTTTCAAAATTGCTCTCAGATTTACGTTTATCGTATCATCACTGAGCAATGGCTGTTTTAACTTAAAACTTGAAAAATGCTGCCAGCAAGTACATATACATTGAAGTCTCAACATAAATGACAAGGGCAACGATGATTCAAGAAAAATTAAAACAGCAAGCATAAGAAATAGCAGCAACAAAACTTATCATAAATTCATAACACAAAAGGCAGCAACAATACTAAAGCAGCAACACAGCACCTCAAGCTGGCAGGAGGCATGAACCAGCTCATGCAGGCAACAATATAGGCAATAACAACTCAGCAGGGACAACAACCAAAAGGCAAAAGCACTACCAGCAGCTTATAACAAGTTCAAGCAACTTCAAAATTATAACTTTTGTTGTTTAAAATTGCTCTCAGATTTACATCACTGAGTAATGGTTGTTTTAACAAAAACTTGAGAAATGCTGCCAGCAAGTACCAAAATACATTTAAGTCTCAACATAAATGACAAGGGCAACGATTTTAGCTTAAGTCTTGAAAAATGCTGCCAGCAAGTCTGAAAATAAATGACAAGGGCAACGATTTTTCAAGATAAAATAAACCACAATGAGACACAAATACCAGTTATGTAGATGAAGCACTTTCGGCTTCAATCTCTTTACCAATAAGGAGGACGTCTTCCTCAACAACCTTGATAACCACGACACCAATTTTGGGTGGTAACCAATGCCTCAACATTCTTTGGCAAAAGTTTACCCCTATATTTGTTCAAAATACGACCACCCAAACTAAAAGAAGATTTAGAGGCCACCGATGTAATAGGAATGGCCAAAACATCCCTTGCCATATTAGCTAAAATAGGAAGAGAAGAAGCTTGAGATTCCCAATACTTGAGAACGTCAAAATGTTCCCCTTGAATAAATCGTGAACGAGGTCCATTCAAATATGCCTCAAGATCAGCCAGAGGGCATCTAGTTGAATCATCACATTCGTCATCAACCTCACGCAACTGAAACAGATTTTTTTTATTAAAAGTTAAATTATGACATTACAAATAAAAATAGAAGACTGCCATTAATATTGAGTATATTGTATAACATAAATACCGTGAAAATATTTTGAGAACTCAACGTGTGATTAGAATTTTCAGATTGAGCTGTGTAAGAAGAGGCAGGATTTCTGCAGCTTGTATTAGATGCAGTAGAATAAAATTTATAAAGGTCATAAAAAGCTTCCTTAATCATCATAATCTTTTCGTCGCATGCCTCATCATTATACAACGAGTTCAACATATGTCTCACTCGAAACAACTTATAACGAGGATCAAGAGCAATAGCAACTGAAAGAATCAAACTATAATCCTCCCAATAACTCTCAAACTTCTCAAGCATAACTGCTGCCATGGGTGCAAGTTTAGGGTCTTTAAAGGCTTGAGTAATAGCGTATTCAATTTTTAAAACACTAACAAAATACAAATTAGCAGTGGGATATTCGGTACCAGAAAATAACAGAGTAATATCATTAAATGGCTGAAGGAAATCACAATTTTTTTGAATGGTATCCCATTCATCAGCATCAAGTCTATAAGAAATACCCAAAAACCTACTAGTATATAGAATCAAGGCATCCTTAGCTTCTAAGGCTTTTCGGAGCATTGTATAAGTGGCATTCCAACGAGTCACAACATCGAGACATAACTTACCATTAAAAGCACAGTCTAACTCAGACAAAGCATTCTCAAATTGAGTTAATCTAGAATCAGAAGCATCAATATATTTAACAACCTCACGCAATTTTTCAACACTTTCATGAACTTCTTTTAAACCTCTTTGAACAATAAGATTCAAAACATGAGCTGAACATCGAACATGAAAGAATTTACCATCACAAGGTAGAGGAGAACATACATTAATTATTTTTTCAAATATTTAACCATAACATTCATAGAACGAGCATTATCAACCGTTATTGAAAAAGCCTTCCCTTGAAGATTCCACTCTTTAATCAGTTTAAACACAAACTTTCCAACCTCAACACCAGTATGGGGAGGGCCACAATATCTAAAATTTAAAATTTTAGACCTAAGAGACCAACTGTTATCAACATAATGAGCAGTCAAAGTGAGATAGCCTCGGTTAGTACATGCAGCCCACAAGTCACATGTAAAGCTAACTCTACCAGAAACATTAGCCAAAGACTCATGCAACAAGGATTTATATTTATCATGCTCAGCAATAACATACTTTAACATAGTTTTTCTACAAACATGCTGCACCTTAGGATTCAAATATGCATGAAGTTCCCTAAGATATTCATGCTCTACAATATTTAAAGGATATGCATGGCAGATTATAGCTTTAGCAAACTTTTGTAAATAAGTTTTTTGATCAAATTGTGATTCTTTACCGGGTTGGAGACCATGCTTTTCCAAACATGCATTAATATGAGCTCTACAAGTTGAAGTACCCGCTTTACCAGGTGCTTTTTATTCTTTGCCACACAAATTACAACGAGCATAATCTACCTTTTCATTACCTATCGTCTTTAAAAAAAAGTGTAATGCTTCCATATACCTGCGGTTCTTTGACGTTTATTAACATAAGTAGTGATAATGCCGGTATTACTAGCATCATCAACCGGGCCAGAGGTAGCTTGAGAGCTAACAATATCAAAATTTGATTGCCTCTCATAGTCAAATTCATCATACTCGTGAGACATGACTGAAACAAAAAAAAGAAAACAACATTTATAAGTACCAAATTAAGTGACAGATTCTACTAATAGTGAGCAATTAACTTAAGCATGCATTTCAAAAAGAAACATGGACTAGATGAGAAGGTAACATACTAACATGTAAGTCAACCATTGTTATTTCCAGTTATTTGTGCATTATTTGATAACTGTTGAATTATCAATTTTTAAGGCTCTATAACAAACATATTGTTGATGTGGTACAACCAAGCTCAATAAAATTTCATGCATTTCTAACATTCTAATAACTAGATCAGACCATCTGGTTATAATAAGACTACTAGACATAATTTTGTCTCATGCTTTGCTATATTTTACAAAAAGTAACTTACTCCGTATATATTAGTACGTACTTTATTTACAAATACAATGGTTACAATTATTATCTTCGTATAATCGAGGGCAAATTATTAGAGACATAATACAACTCTAGTCACATGTACTTATTGCTAAAAGAATGTTGCAAACTTTTATAAAGTGGAGTATAATGTAAAATACTCCTAGAATACGATGAAAGGTATCATTAATATGAGTGGCTGATTGATAATTAAAGACTTAATTAATTATAGTCCTATTGAGTTATAGGTTGTTTGATTCTTATGATTTTTAGTTCAATAAAGTTAAACTTGAGACTGACATAGTGAAATCATATATTAATTAGGAAACTTTGATTGGATTATTGTACGTACATTAATTCCAACTGTATTCCAACTGAATTATGCTTCAAAAAGAATAAATGAACTAAAGAAATTAAGGAATAGAACTTTCAAAAAGAAAAAAGCAGAAATTATAATTTACAAAAAAAAAAAAACGGAACTTAGAATAAGAATAAAAAAATACCTTATACCGTGAGTAGAATATGACAGATCTACAAAAAAAAAAGAAAAAAAAAATTAAAACTTCAAAAAAAAAGCACAAAATAATTAATTATACATAGCAAAAGAAAAAAGAAAAAATACCTTATACGGTTATACCGTGAGTATAGTATGACAGATCTACAAAAAAAAAGAAAAAAATAAATAAAACTTCAAAAAAAAAAAGCACAAATTAATCAATTATACATTACAAAAGAAAAAAGAAAAAATACCTTATACGATTATACCGTGAGTAAAAATATGACAGATCTACAAAAAAAAAAGAAAAAAAAAATTAAAACTTCAAAAAAAAAAAGCACAAATTAATTAATTATACATTGCAAAAGAAAAAAGAAAAACTACCTTATACCGTGAGAGAATATAACAGATCTACACAAAAAAAAAAATATTAAAAAAAAAATAAAATTAAAACTTCAAATAAAAAAGCACAAATTAATCAATTACATGAATTGCAAAAGAAAACAGAAAAAATACCTTATACTGTGTGTTGAATATATATGACAGATCTACAAAAAAAAAAAAAGAAAAAAAAATTAGAAATTCCAAAAAAAGCAAAAATTAATCAATTATACATTGCAATTTGCAAACGAATCATTCGAAATAAATGACCAAAAGACTTGGAACTTCCAAAAAAAAATCTGAAATTTTAAGAAAAAATGAAAATACCGAACTTATAAAATTAAAAAAAAAATGGTAGGATCGCCGTTCGCCAATAAGGAGATTTAGATGCAGAGGGATGATGAAGAGGGAGATTGAGAGGCGTGAGAAAGTTAGGAGATTCAGAGGCGTTAGGAGAGAGAGAGCTGGAGAGGTTGAAGAGGAAGTTAGGAGAGAGAGAGAGAGCCGTTTAGATTATGATGAAATGATCAAATGAGGCGTGCTACTGCTGTTGTTAGGTTTAGGTATTAGGTTAAAACTTCTTCCCCTAATTTCACCGTCCAATTCCAATCTCAATATCTCACCGTTCATTTCAAATTTTTTTTTTGGTAGTAATTAAGGATCTAGAATCTTCATTACATCCAACGGTCTTGTTTTGTTTTGTTCTTTTCGAGGTCTTTTTGACCGTTTATTATTATTTTTTTTTTGATACGACCGTTCAATTTTTTAAAACATATTAAATATTATTGTTAATTATTTATTTTTATTATTATTATTTTGAATTTTTGACTTTTGAGGTTTTATTATTATTATTATTATTGTTATTAATAATGTTATTTTTATTAATATTGTTATTTTTATTATTATTGTTATTATTATTATTGTTAGTATAATTTTTTGTTAATATTATTATTATTATTACAATACTACTACTATTAATCTATTATTACTATAAGTAGTTTATTACTTCTAAATTGTAAGAAACGCAAATGTTTCAAAATTGAAATTGATTCATTACGACATAGTTAATGTACATCAATATCTATCATCTCTATATGTATATAATTAATCAACTATATATTAATATATATGATCGGTTTAGGATTTAGGGTTTAGGGTTTTAAGTTTTTTGGGTGGTTAGATTTTACATCATGCATCAAATCATCCTAATGTAGTAAGTAATTTTGGGTCCGATGTCTGAATGAGTTTAGTTTAGAGCATTACAAAAGATTTCGACAATGAACGAATGATTTTTTGTATAGATGCTGTTATCTTTCATGTTTAACCGTTAACTAAACAATAGCCGAAACTATTCTCAATGTACGTAGCATGTCTGTTGCCATGAAAAATATATTTAATTTGATATTGATCCGACCATACTAGCTAGTTTGCTATTATATACATTTAATTTGGCAATACTGTTAGTAGATTTGATATACCGCAGACTATCAAGTTGACTGTGAATAGAATCTAAATTATCTAATGTATGTCATTGTGGTTCGACCTACTTGATCAAACTCATAATTAAATTGAACATCCTCTTTAAGTTTAACCGGTAAACATAAATCATTATATATGTGAGTCTGTGACTTTAAATGTAATAAACTAATTAATAAGACTAGTAACTAATAAGTAATAAACTAATAACTAATAAAGTAATGAAATCTAACCGTTGTTTTTCATGGGCATTCAATTTAATCGTTATGTATTTGACTATTTGTACATTAGTATTGCATAATGATTTCATCACCACTTTAGTGATTTTGTGATTTTGTCCATTTAACTTGTCAAGTTGTTTGAGTTAGTAATCTAAATAAAGTAACAAACTAAATAAGTAAATAACTAATCCATTTAATCTCGTTTAACTTATAAATTATAAGAAATGCAAATGTTTGGAAATTGAAATTGATTCAATACGACATTGTTAATGTATATCAGTATATGTATTATGTATATGAGTATATCATATGGTACAAATGTACGATTGGTATCATAATATCATTGTCTCGTTGAATCATTGGTATCATGGCATGTACGTATAACGGTATAAACCGTATAATCGATAAACATATATGATTATTAAAAATTAAAAGTTTAAAACACTTGTTGATCGATCTAATTGAATACTTGTACATTCTTAATTATCGATTTATCGTATTCTAAGTATCAACTCATTAAATCATGGTCATGACGCGATCTTTAAAACAATCATGAATTCATGACCCAAACCGCTTATAAACCGAACCGACATGATCCAAACCATTCATAAACCGAACCAATTGAATTGTGTAAACCCTCCACTAAACCGGCCCATTTCAAACTGAACCGACATGATTTGCACCGTTTATAAACCGAACCGATATTGACCTGGATAAACCCGCCCCTAAACCGACCCATTTCAAATCAAACCGGTTTGATCCAAACCGTTTGTAAACCGAACTGACATTGACCCGGGTAAACCCGCCGCCTAAACCGACCCGTATCAAACCGAACCGACATGATCCGAATGTTTATAAACCGACCCGCTTATGACCCAAACCGAATTTAAACCGCAAACCAAACCGAGCCGTGACTAACCCAAACCGAACCAAACCGATCCGACAGCTAAACTAAACCGTTTCAATCCGAACCGCTCTAAACCGAAACCGACTCAAACCGAACCGGCAGACCGAAGTCCCACCCCTAGGTTTTCGTTGTTGTTGGGGATGAGGGTGGGGGCTCTGGTTGTGTTGGTGGTTGTTTAGGGTGGTGGGCTGTTGGGGTTTTTTTCAAAAAAAAATTAAAATCAATTTAATTAATAAGAAAATTGTGTTTCAAAAAAAAAAAAACAATTGTTATAAAAAAATAATCTACCAATCACTTAATGACACGTGTCACACTAACTTATTAAACAAGTTACTAACGGTTTCATCCTATTTATGGAAGATGCACGTTAAATGTCGTTTTTATTGGGGAATAATCAAAAGGTCGTTTTATTTTTGGAAGACTAGGCCAAGATCATAATATTCTTGACAATTTTTCCAATTCTAAATATCCATAACTTCTTCTAAGAAAAAATACATATATGTACTAATAAGGCATTTATGGTTAAATATAATGAAAATGTCATTAAATAAAATAAAAAAATAAAAAATAAAAATAAAAACCATACGGATAATGATTAGTTAAAATTATTTTATATGCACTATCAATACATAGGGAATGTCTATATTTGTAATTCGTGTATTGTGTGCTATACTAATATGGACTAAATAAGTATACATGGTAAATTTAACTAAAATCAAAGGATAAAATTCAACTAAACCAAACCAGATAGCCCAACCCCTCTTCTGGACCTTCACCAACATAACTTTCCCTCAACCTTCACATTAGGGTTGATAACCCGCTCAAGTGGGTTAACACAACATTTCTCTTCTTTTGGAATCAGCCAAACCTTACTTCTCATATGGAGTCTAAGAAAATTATCATTCTCGGAGAATCAGGCACCGGGAAAACGAGTTTGGTCAATGCATGTCGAGGCTTGGCTTTCAATGAAGAGCATATACGTAAGTATGATAATTGTTTGTTTGTTTTTTTTTTTTTTTTTGAAATAATGCTATTGTTAATGGAGTAATGATAGGTGTAATAGTAAAAGAAATAGAGTAAAGTGACTTTTTTATATTCCAAAAAAGAAAAAAAAATATGCCTTTTTTGTTATTTAAAAATAAAAAAAGGTCCAACCTTTTTATATTAAAACCACTGTCTTTAGCAAAATTTTTAAAAATAATATTTTATTTTTAATGGTTTATTAATATTGGTAATAATGGAAGATGATCGTTAAATGGAAGGAGAGAGAATATCCATAGCGAAAGAGGAAGTATCGGAGGTGAGAGAATTCGTCAAAAACCCTAATTAAGTACTTAATCATGAGATTTAAGGTGGAGATCTCAACAAGATAGGTGGTTTATGGGGTGGTGTTGTTGGAGGGGGTGGCGGTGGCGGTGGTGTAGAGGATTTCATCTCTTTATTTAGGATGGATTTCATTTTCTTCAAATTATGATTCTATTTTTGTTTTTTTTAATTTTTATTATTGTAACGAACTTTCTTAATTTGTATACAACAGAAGATTTTATTGCTGTCTTGTACGATGGTATACAACTGTGGGAGATTCCAGCTCACCATGACTGTGATAGATATTTAGCCGGCGTTTACAGAGTCGTAATTGTTTACGAGGTAAACAATGAATGCTCCTACCGAAGTGAGTTACAACTTTTGTTTTAGGTGACATAATATTAAATATCATTTAATACACTATTTGTTTCATTTGCAGGGCATGTGATATGGCTCGTATTACTGTTGCCATCAACAAATCTGACCTAGTTAAAGAATACTACGACCCTCCAATCTCTGTGCTTCGATACCAATGTGTTCCTCCCTATATCAATATAGTAGAGACATCTACTGATACTGCTAATTCGTGCATGGAAGTTTTTCTTCCGCTTATCTTTGGTTAATCATGAAGTTGAGAATGTTTAAGTTTACCCATGTTGAGATTTTGCTTAGTTTAATTTTTTATTTTGTCTCAAATTTTATGATTTCATTATCAATATTTGTAGGGATCTTATGAAATTCGAGCTTTTTTAAATGAGTAAAGTGTTGTTGAATTGTGGGCTGGTTTTATAGTGATCTTATGAAATTTGAGCTTTTTCAAACGTTTTTAGGTATTTATTGTGGGGTTTAAAGAGGATGTAGTTTACCACATGATCGGATCAATTAAAAGAGATTGTTAGTGGGATTTGTTCGCTTTAGAGTACCGTAGATTGTGTTGAATGCTGGAGGTTTTTTTGTTTGTTGAGAAAGCAAATGCATTTCCAGTTAAGGGTGTAGGTAAGACACAATGGTGGATCAAGGGGGTGTATAGTAATTTATTTGGTAATGACTAGTGGCGAATATAGCATTTTATATAGGTGGGTTCAAATTTAGTCAAAATTAAATAAATTATATTATAATTATTTATAAATTAACAAATTACATGAATATATATATATATATATATATATATATATATATATATATATATATATATATATATATATATATATATATATATATATATATATATATATAGAGGAAGGCTCATATAAGAACCCTCCTCTATATAAGAACCCATTATATATAAGAACTAATCTGGACCGTGGAATTAGCTTGATCTGATCGCTCAAAATGAATGATTAGTAATGACATTTTTGTAATTTGAAGGAGTTTATTCAAATTCTTTTTCCTCTTCCTTCAAATTCTTTTTCTCTCTCTAAAATTCTCAGCTTTCTCCCTCTCCTCAGTTCAACAGATTGGCGAAAGTTCATCAAATTCATCACGATATTTTCACAGATTTTGGATTAATTATTGTAAGTTTATTAATTTTATAATCAGATTTGTTTTAAATTTAATGATTTTTCATGCAATTTTGATGCGATTAATTTCATGCGATTATTTTGAGCATTTTCTATGTAATTGTTCTCAATATTGTTTAGCGAATATTTTGCTGCGATTTTGCTACGAATTTTATGCGATTTTGATGCGATTTTTTGCTGCAATTTGATGTGATTTTGTTGCGTTTTTATGCGATTTTTTCTCAAATATTTCCCTGATTTTTGCGATTTGTATGCTGCGATTTTGATGCGTTTATTTCTCAATTTTTGCTGCGATTTATGTTCGATTTTTACTGATTAATTCATGTTTTCGTCAATATTTTTGCGATTTTTTGCGAATTTTCTATTCGATTTTGTTTTTGGCGATTTTCTATTCGATGTATATTTATTTTGCTCGATTATTTATCAATTCGATTGTTTGATTGTTCGAATTGTTTGTTCTTATTTTGATTTTTTCTCAAAATTTTCCGGCACAGGGGATCTGTTCACCGGCGAGGTTAGGGTTGGCTGGGTAGAGAAAGGTTAGGTGGCGGCTAGGGTAGCGACGGCGGCGAATTTGGTGGCTGGGAAGAGGAAAAGGGTGGTGGTGGTTTTTCCTTTTCCTTTTTTTTTTAATTTTATTATTTCTAGATTTTATATAGTTCACTATGTTCTAAGCAAAAGCAAATTTAGAACATAGCTATGTTCTAAACAAATTTAGAACATAAAGTAATTTACTACGTTCTAAGCAAATCAAATTTAGAACATAATTCACTATGTTATAAGGAAATTTAGAACATAAAGTAATTCATTATGTTCTAAAATAATTCAAGATGTTCTAAAGTTTTCCTTCTATGTTCTAAAATTTTCCATCTATGTTATAAAGTTTACTCTTTGTGTTCTAAAGTAATTCACTGTGTTCTAAAGTAATTCATTATATTCTAAACTATTATTTAACTATCTTAGCATGTTCTAAACTTTTATTTAGCATATATTAAGTTTACTCTTTATGTTCTAAAGTAATTCATTGTGTTCTAAAGTAGACAATCTTAGCATGTTTGTCAAAGCTTGTTTAATTAGCACTAGTCTTAACTTGGGATAACTTTTGCTTTAAAGGACTACTAATGATAGATTGATTATATAGCCAATATAATGAACCCACCTTAATGCAAGTAATCGATCATCAAATTACAATAAACGATGCTAAAGATAGTGTTTAGAAGTGCAAAAGGATATGATTAAACAAAAAAAAATTACTTTTGTGATTATCTCATATAGTTGTTAGTAGTTTTTCCTCTAGTTCAAGTGTTTTATATACATTAGCCTACTAGCTCAACGGGTAGAGCATTGTTTGAGTTTTTTCATTAATTTCATCAATTTCGTTTTCTAGTTTTCTTTTTCTTCTTCAATTTCCAGATTTTTCCAAATTTTATTTCTAGATTTTATTTCCTTTGCTTATTTCCAGATTTTTTATTTCCAGATTTTTCTGTTTTTTTCCTTTGCTTGAGTTTTTCAACATCTTTTTCGATTTTATCCTATTTTGTTTTCCAGATTTTTGATTTTTAATGGATTTTAATTTCTGGTTGCTTTTTTGCTACAATTTGTGTTTTTCAAAATAGGTTTATGCATATTGATGGATTTAGATGGTGTGCAACCTAATTATCCTTCTTCCTGTGTTACTCATTCAGGTAATTTTATTGTTTTCAATGTTTTAATTTCAATTTACTTACATGTTCTAAAGTTTCTTTACTATGTTCTAACATTTATCTGTAATGTTCTGAAGTTTTCTCTGTATGTTCTAAAGTTTTCTATATATCTCTCTCTTTATATTCTAAAACTTTCATTCTATGTTCTAAAGTTTACCTTCTAATTTTAAATTTTACTTTTTATGTTCTAATGTTTACTTTCATTGTATGTTCTAAAGTTAACCTTCTAGTTTAATTTTTTCACTTTATTGTAAATTTTATTATGTATGTTATAAAGTAATTCACTATGTTATAAGTATGTCCCTGATTTTATATGTTCTAAAGTTTATCCTTGATGTTATAAAGTTTATCTTTGATGTTCTAAAGTTTTCTCTGTATGTTCTAAAGTTTTTTATGTATCTTTCTCTTTATATTATAAAGTTTATTTTTATGTTCTAATGTTTACTTTCATGTTCTAATGCAGTTGGTGATATTTATCGTACTCTAGAGGTTGTTGGATCATTTAGCCCTGGTGGTACCACTAAGGAATGGATTCCAAGTGTTCCCGAGGAGTTAAAACCTAGTTTGGGGATGATATTTAAAGATCCTGAAGAGGGTCTTAGTTTTTATAAAGCATATGCAAATGCCGCTGGGTTTACTTCTAGGAAATCTACTACTAAAAGGAAGAAGAATAACAAAGATATAATTGCTTTTCAATATGGAGTTTGCAATAAGGAAGGTTTTAGGGCAATAAGAAAACCTATTGCTCAACAAACAGTTTATGAAGAAGGAAAAGTTCGTATTACTAGGAAACGTTTAGTCACTCGTGTAGGATGCAAAGCTCACATATGTATGAGATATGATGCTGGAAAGTATGTTGTAACTCATTTCAAAGAAGAACATAATCATCCTTTATATACTCCAAGTTGTGCAAAATTTCAGAAGGATAATAGAAAAATGCATATTATGCATAAAAAGTTGATTGTTGATAATTCAAAGGTGATTTATTTTTATGTACTAAATAATGTTTTTTTTTGTTTTGATTTACTATGTTCTAAAGTTAATTCTTAATCTTAGTAATATTTTTTTTTTCTAACAGGTAAATGTTGGTCCTGTGAGGTCTTATACTATGATGAAAGAATTAGCTGGATCACATGATAATGTTGGTGCATCTAAACAAGATTTCAAAAATTTTTATAGAGATTTGAAGGCTTTTATTGATGGATCAGATGCCCAAATGTTTGTGGATAATTTTCAAAATAAGAAATTGCTCTGGAGTGCATTTTTTTTTTCCTATGATGTTGATGAAGAAGATAGACTTTGTAGAGCTTTATGGGCTGATCCAATCTGTCGAAAAAATTATGCACTTTTTGGTGATATGGTTTCTTTTGATACCACATTCAAAACAAACAGGTGATGTTTTAAATATAAATTTCTTTCATAATGTAATTAATATTTTACTTTTACATATTAATTTTTTAAACATATGTTCTTATATTCTAAATATCATGCCTTGTGTTCCTAAACAAATATCCATCATGTTTTGATGTTCTAAACAAATATTCTTTATGTTCTAAACTATGTATGCCTTATGTTCTAAACATATATTGCTAATGTTCTACCTTATGCTTTAAAATATATCCATCATGCTTTTATGCTTTAAACATTATGCTTTTGTGTTTTACACTTTATTCTTTGTGTTCTAAACTAATATCCATCATGTTCTAAACATTATGTCTATATGTTCTAAAGTTTACTTATAAGTTTTTAAAACTACATTGTATATTTTTAGTTTAGTGTTTATGTTTTAGAGTAATTCATTATGTTTTAAAACAACTATATTACTGCCACGTTTAATAATTAAATTAAATTACTATCCTCTAAAGTTTATCCTTAATGTTCTAAAGTATACCTCTATGTTCTACAATTTACCTCTATGTTCTAAAGTTTACCTCTATTTTCTGCATAAATAATTTGTGTATGTTACAGATATAATATGATCTTTGGTCCATTTACTGGAGTTGATCATCATAAAAAATGTGTTACTTTTGCGGCTTCTTTTGTAGCTCATGAGGATATATCATCTTTTGAATGGGTTTTCAAAACTTTTCTTAAAGCAATGGGAAATAACGAGCCTGTGTGTTTGATTACCGATCAAGACCCTGCAATGAAAGTTGCTGTTCGTAATGTTTTTCAAACTACAGAACATAGGTTTTGTATGTGGCATATTATGAAAAAGGTGCCTGAAAAAGTAGGTCGGGCGATTGCCCAAGACACTGATTTCTTGAAAAAAACTGTGTTCATGTGTTTGGCATTTAGAGATTGAGCCGGCAGAATTTGAAGAAAAGTGGAACAAAGTTATTTCAGAATTCCATTTGAACGATCATGAATGGTTGACATACATGTACAACATACGTGATATGTGGATTCCAGCGTATTTCAGAGATTTATTTTTGGGTGGCATTATGAGAACCACATCTAGATCAGAAAGTGAAAATAATTTTTTCACTATGTTCACAAATCCCCATCTCACTTTGATTGAGTTCTACATGAGGTAATAAGTAATTGTCTATATATGTTCTAAAGTTACTCTTTATGTTCTAAAGTTTTCCTTGTATGCTCTAAAGTTTTCTTTTTATGCTTTATAGTTTTACTATTTATTTTATAATTCTCTTTTATGTTTTCTTTTTCTCTTTATGTTTTAATAATATTTAGATCATAATAAACATGTCATGTATATTTATATGTTCTAATGTAATTCACTCTATGTTCTACAATTATCTTCTATGTTTTAAAGTAAATTTCTATTTTCTATAGGTTTGAATGTGCATTGGATGCTCAAAGGCACACTCAAAATAAAATGGATAATGATTCGAAGAATAAGCGTCCGGAGTGTAAGACTCCAATTCCTTTAGAGAAAGATGCTTCTGAATTGTTTACAACAACAATTTTCTATGAATTTCAATATGAGCTTGAAATTGGATGTTTTAATTGTGGTGTTGAGGAGATGAAGAAGGACAATGAGCTTTACATTTTCAATTTGAGGGAAGGAACTAGAAGGAGGACTTTTGATGTTGTTTTTGATCCAACTACCTTTGATACCAAGTGTTTTTGTAAAAAATTTGAACGTGATGGTGTGCCTTGTAGGCATATGATTTGGGTGTGGAAGGCAAGGATGTTAGAAAAAATTCCCAAGGCCTACATTCTAAATAGATGGTGTACAATGGCTTATAAGAAGCCCATTTTTGATTTAGAGGGTAATGTGTTGGAGGAATGTATTAATGCAGTAGATAAGAAAATGTTATTAAATGATTTGTGGTCTGAAATTCATGCTTGTGTGAGTTTAGTGCAAAACAATGAAGATGATCTTAGTGATCTTGTCAAAAAACTTCGAGCCATGAGGGCAGATTTGGAACAGAAGAAAACAAATGGAAGCAACAATCTTTCGAGCAAAGTTAAAGACATTGAAATGCTTATTGGAGCTAGTCTACCTTCTAATGTTTTAATCAAACCTCCTAAAATTTCGAAGAACAAAGGCACGGGGGTTCATGTTCCAAATCAGGTCAATGTTCCAAATGATGTCCATGTTCCAAATCAGGTTCATGTTCCAAATCAGGTAAATGTTCCAAATGATGTCCATGTTCCAAATGATGTCCATGTTCCAAATGAGGTTCATGTTCCAAATAGTGACAAAAGAATGAAGAGTGACAGAGAAAAGTCTATTGAACAAAGTCAAAAGAAGAAGAGATTATGTAGAGCATGTGGGGAGCTTGGTTATCATGATAGTCGTAATTGCCCTGGAAAAGTCAAGTGATATTGTAAGTAAACTTTATTTTTAATTTTCTTATATTTATTTTGTTCTAAAGTAATTATGTTTTAAGCAAGTTTAGAACATAAAGTTATTCATATATGTTCTAAAGTAATTCAATATGTTCTAAAGTGTTTTCTCTTTGTTCTAAAGTTACTTTTCTATGTTCTAAAGTGTTTTCTCTATGTTCTAATGTTTATTCTTTCTGTTTTAGTGTAATTTAATATGCTCTAATGTTTAGAATATAAAGTTATTCATTTTGTTCTAAAGTTTTCCTTTATATTTTAACTTTTCTCTTTATGTTCAAAATATTTTCTTTATATGTTCTAAAGTTTTCTTTATATGTTTTAAAGGTTTCTTTAAATGTTCTAAAGTTTTTACTCTATATAATATCATGTGTTCTAAACTAATAGAAATGGCATGTTATAACATTTTTTAATGCTAAATTATGTGCTTATGTTCTAATATTGTTTTATTTTTTTTTCTTTACAGGTTGGTGAATATACTATTAATCCAGTTGCATGAGATGTTATATATTTAGAAACAATATCTCATTTACTAGCACGTAAAATATTATTCATGTAATTCTTAAAATATAAGAACTCAATTTATTTACTTTTAGAAACAATATATTTTTATTTCTTTTTTGTCCAATTATTATTCAGAGTATCTCTACTAGTGTTTTTCTTATCAATTTTTATGTTAATTAAAGTTGATTATAATGTTTTATAACATCTCCTGTCTTTTCATCTTCCCCCCTTTTCGTAATTATAAGTTGTTTTATTAAGTCAATTTGAACTACGAGTAATGATAGTACAAGCATTTTAGATACCTTTATTAAACAACATTTAGTTGAATCTTGCTTTAATCAACTTTTATTTATTCAAGTTTCTTAACATTGATTTACATATGCCTTCTTAGATATGCACTAAAGAGTGTATGCATTGTATTCAAAAGGAAAAATAAAGCAAAAGTAATGGATTAGAAGCAGCCAGTTTAGAACATAAGCAAATACTTTAGAACATAGATAAAAATAATTAGAAGATTAGCAAAATCAATAATTTGGACATGTAATAAGAAAAAAGTACAACATAATAAGATATAATTAGAATCAAGTTACCAATTGAATGCTTTGGAATCTTGTTACTTTGGCTGTTGTCATTTCTTGTTACTTTTTTTTAATTTTCTTATGTTCTAATGTTCTACACTTTAAGTTTTAAGTCAAAATTAATATATAATAATATATTCTAATATCCTAACTTTATAAGCATATAATTATTAAAACATAATCAAAAATACTTTAGAACATACCCATATAATTTAGAACATGAATATAATTTAGCATATAAGTTTATATGATATATTTTATATTAAAATTTTAGCATTTAATATGATTCAACAATATATTTCTTGTAACAGGTAAATACATAGAACATAAAAAATTACTGTTATATTCTTTGCAAATATCTCTCTACAAATATAAACTTAAGATCTTAACAATCATATATCCATTTTGTTCTCCTTTGACCACTTTTTTGATCTCCTAATCACTTTGTTCCGTTCTTCATTTACTTCTGCTGTTATTATCTTCCCACAATACTCCACTCTTAATTTTTTCATTTGGTCAAACTGCAAAAAAAAAAAAAAAAAAAAGAGTAACTTTTAGAACATAAACATAAACATTTGGTCAAACTGCAAAAAAAAAAAAAAAGAGTAACTTTTAGAACATAAACAGAAATACTTTAGAACATAAGCATATAATTTAGAACATGAATATAATTTAGCATATAAGTATAAATAAATATAATAAACCATAATATATCTAAACAATAACCAAACCAAACCACAACACTAAAACCATAACACCAAAACCATAAACGAAACTAATTTAAAACATGTATCTTATGTTTTAAACTTACATTGTCTAATTCTAGTCCCGAATTCCATTGTTTTACAGATTCTCCTTCATATGTTTCCATGTGCTTCAACAGGAACACTCCACAATCATGTTTGTTGTTATTGCTCTTCCATGACATACTCAAGTTTCTTGTTTTGAAGGAGGATACAAAGTCACTCTTTATATTTGAGTCAATTGAGTGAACGAAATCAGCAAATGCATTCAACTGAAAAATTGGATAAACTTTAGAACATATAAGGTAAACTTTAGAACATAAAGAAAAACTGTAGAACATATAAGGCAAAAGTTAGAACAAAAGTATAATTAAAAAAATGTAAACTTGATGTCTTACCATTAATCTATGGTAATTTCCATATTTATTGTGAAAAGGAATATTTGGTGGAAGAAATCTGTTGTCAATCAAATCAAATGTTCCTTCCACAAAGTTGACACACAGCAAATAGTAGTGATCTGGTAAAACGACCGGGAAGAAAACCTAATAGATAAACAGAATTAGAACATAGATAAGCAAAATTAGAACATAAGCATGCATTTTAGAACATAAGCATATAGATTAGAACACAAGCATATAATTTTTATAACATGTAGTTTAGAACATAAGTAAGTAGTTTAGAAGATAAATAAGTAGTTTAGAACATAAGTAGATACTTTAAAACATAGATAAAAATAATTAGAACATAAACAAAACCAATAATTAGAACATATAATAAGAAAAAAGTACAACATAATAAGATACCAAATTACCAATTGAATGCTTTTGAAGCTTGTTACTTCGGTCGTTGTCATTTCTTGTTGCATTCTATCAAACAAAGCCTTCATTCTATCATCTTGCCTTTCATTTGATTTGAAGTATTTTTCTGTACAACGTATGAGCTGAAAAAGAAAAAGAAATTAAAACATAAGTAATTAGAACATAGGTGCATAGTATAATCTATATGAGAAACAAAAAGAATCTACTCTTAGAACATAGTTATAATTTTAAGTTCGAAAACATACATAGCATTCAGTACTGAAAAAGAATCTACTCTTCTTGTCTACACCACGTCTTTTATTTTCAAAATTCAATAGGCAAACATAAGCATCCACAACATTGTTCAACATGTGCTTATCTTCTATGAGACTATGAATCTCATCTCTCGTAATCGTTGTCCCCATGTTATCAGCATACAAAAGCTCCCTAAAATCAGAACATTAAAATCAGAACATAAGCATGTAGTTTAGAACATAAGCATGTAGTTTAGAACATAAAACACATAATTTAAAACATAAGAATATATTTTAGAACATAAGTACCTATTTTAGAACATAAGCATATAGTTTTACACATGTACTTTATAACATAATCTCGTAGCTTAGAACACGCAGTTTAGAACATAAGAATGAAGTTTAGAACATAATTTATAGCTTAGATCATAAGCATATAGCTTAGAACATAAGCATATAGCTTCGAACATAAGCATATAATTTTAAAGTTTTAAAGTCTTACTTATTATCTCCTTGAGCAAACGCATACTCAGCTACCTTTCTATTGTCCACATTCTTGAAAAGTTTTTCATGTTCAACCATGAAAGGTGAACGCAAGTACATTGGAAGCTTATCCTTTCCTCTTTTTTTTCCGTGTCTTTTCTTCTCCTTTTTCTTCTCCTTGTTTCCTACTTAATTCAATTAAAAAATATCACATAGATAACAAAAACCATAACTAAATCAAACGAAAATTTATTGATAACAAAAAACCATAACCAAATCAAACCAAAATTTATTATTACCAAGTTCTAAATTAAAATTTAACTAAACCATAACCAACATTTGTTTTAAAGTTTACAAAATGATTACCCTTTCTTGTTCTCATTTTTTTCTTCTTTGTTCTTCTCTTCATTCTTGCTTCCTTCATTTTCTTTCTTCTCCTCTTGATTCTCCTCTTTTTCCTCCTTTTCTTCTTCCCCTTTTCTTCTCTCTTCTCCTCTTGGATCTCCTCTTTTTCCTCCTTTTCTTCTTCCCCTTTTCTTCTCTCTTCTCCTCTTGGATCTCCTTTTTTTCCTCCTCTTTCTTCTTCCCCTTTTCTTCTTTCTTCTCCTCTTGCTTCTCTTCTTTTTCCTCTTCTTTCTTCTTCTCCTTTTCTTCTTTCTTCTCCTCTTTTTCCTCTTCTTTCTTCTCCTCTTTTTCCTCTTCTTGCTTCTCCTCTTCATCCAATGTAGGTGGATGATCTGGATTTAGAAAAGCACAATTTAGAACATTTGCTGTCACTTCTTCGTAAGTGAGTTCTGCTTCATTATCTTCTTGATTTTCTGGGACATCAAACCATAAGTAGAAACAATAAGGACACAACATAGAAATAGTTGGAAAAAATTTAGAACATTAGAAATAACTAGAATATAACCAGAAAAATTTAGAACACAAGAAGTAACTTTAGAACATAACTAATTTACAACATAATTATATTATTTAGAACATATGCACATAATTTAGAACATAATCATACAATTTAGAACATATGCACATAATTTAGAGCATAACTAATTTCAAACATAATCATATTATTTAGAAAATATGCACATAATTTAGAGCATAACTAATTTAGAACATAATCATATTATTTAGAAAATATGCACATAATTTAGAGCATAACTAATTTAGAACATAATCATATTATTTAGAACATATGCACATAATTTAGAACATAATCATATTATTAGAGCATATGCACATAATTTAGTACATAATCATATAATTAGAGCATATGCACATAATTTAGAACATAAGAAAGTAGTTTAAAACATAAGCATCTGATTTAGAAAAAATTTAGAACATCAGAAATAACTTTAGAACATAACAGAAAAAATTTATAACATAAGAAGTAATTTTAAAACAAATCTAGTAATATTATTTCAAAAGAAAAAAGTTTGAAAATAATGTAAAACTACCAACTGCTGGTGAGGGGGTCAATAACTTGAAACTTGGAGGAGTTATATCAAAAGGTTGCTTCTTTTTTGGAGGAATTGGGGTTTTTGGTGACTCCTCATTCCTTTCTCTTTCTTCTCAATTTTTTCCTCCTCGTTTCTCTCTTTTCTGTACTGCTCTTTTTCTTCTTCTTTTGATCCCAAATCTTCATAGCAATTACACCATAAAAATTAAGTATTATAGCAAATAGCAAAAAATAATTAGAAAATAAAAAGTAACTTTAGAACATAAGAAATATATACAATTAGGAGACAACCTAGAAATAGTTAGAATATAAAAAATTAAGAATTAACTTTAAAGCATAACCAGAAAAAATTTAGAGCATAAGAAGTAATATTAGAACATATCTAGTAAATATTAGTACATAAAAAATGAATTTGAAAATAATGTGAAATTACCAACTACTGGTGAGGGAATCAACAAGTTTTTTTCTTTATTCTCTTCATTTCTCTCTTCTTTGTTCTTATCTTTTTCCTCTTCCTTTGATCTCAAATCTGCTTAACAATTAGAACATAACTAATTTAGTACATAACTAATTTAGAACATAACTAATTTAGAACATAATCATATAATTTAGAACATAAGCATGTGATTTAAGCGCATGTTTTAGAACATAAAAAAGTACTTTAAAACATAAGCATCTAATATAGAACATAAGTATAATTTGGAAATTAAGCATGTACATGTGAAATTACCAACTGTCGGTGACTTTGGTGACCTTGTTTCCTCGAATTTCTTCCATGCCTTATCCATAACCATATCCAATTCTTCAATAAATGCCGGTTCATCGAAGACATGTTGATCTTGGCTGAGTATAGAAGGGCTTTTCTTTTCTTCTTGGTTCACGAATGTCTATAAAATAAGAAATTATAATTTAGAACATAATATGCATAATATTTATATAAATTTATTATACTTTAGAACATAAGCTGAAAATACTTTAGAACACAAACCAGAAAATACTTTAGAACATAATTATAATACCTTTGTTGTGTACTTGCACCATATGTTGTCTATGAGATGTTGCATTTTTCCTGTTGTTTCTTCCTCAACAAAAAGATCTTTTGCTTGTTCTAACATGCCATACATCTCTTTAACATTCGAGGCAAGTGTTTTGCCAAATCTCCAAATTTGCTCAAAAAGCCCTTCATTAGAACACAAAAATATTTCAGAACATAAAGGACATAACATGGATAATTTAACAGAAAGGATTAAATGGAGCATAAAATATAATTTACAATATAAACTAAATCATACCATCATGTCATTTCGAGAAGTTGTAGAACTAGAACCTATTGATGATTTTTCCATTCTCTTCTCTTTTTCCTTTTGTTTTGGTTGTCTCTTTTTTCCTTTTGGTGCCTTCTAGTATATAAATTATAAAATTTAGAAAACAACAACATAAAGTGTAGTGTTTAAACATAACATATACAAATATCATACCACAATTGATTCCATTCTTTCCAAGAGTTTTCCATATCCAAATCCATGATCTTTTTCAAACTTATATCTCACTTGAATCCTTTCTTGTCCACACCGAAATTAGTGGACATTTTCTTGGTTTTTCTAACCCTCCTCTTTGTAGACGATCAAAATAGAATACCTATTTAGTACATGTTAAGAATTAATTAGAATATTTTTCACACATTTTCAACATAACAAGAATAATATATATACATAATGGTAAGAATTTAAAACTTACCATTAGAAAAGGTAAAGACCTGTAAAGTAAGAATTTCCCTTCTTCCATACACTTACAGAATCTTTCAAGTGCTCAATCACAAATGTGCACCAATCCAATTCAGCAATTTTTTTTACATCCATACAACTATACAAGAATTTAATGTATAGTTGTGGGTTGTTTGTTGATCGAATGCAACAATTGACAACACATACCACAAAGTTCCAAAGAAATTCATCAGAAACTGATTTTTCCTTCTTCAATTCTTGAATTCTGTCAATCAATCTCTTGTTGGTTGGACTTCCCTTTTAGAGGTAAAAAAAAACATATAAATTAAAACCTATGGAGATAATAGATCTATTTTAAAGCAAAAAACACTTTAGAACATAAGCAAAGCACTTTAAAACATACAATTTATAACATAAAATTCATACTTTAGAAACATAAAATTTAAAACATAACCACATTATATCATCATACTTTTTTGAGCCAAACTTGCTTCTCCAAGCTTTTAGAACTTGCTCCATTTCAGATTTGACTCATCATTTGGTTGCTCATCCTTTTGCCTCCCAATGGCAACCCATAAGCCAAATGAACATCAATTGCCTCCAAAAGATTTCTTGTTTTGTCTTTGTAACATCAAACAACATCTCTCCGTGTCAAAATTCGTAACCAGTTTTCTGTCAACCTAGAATTATAATGAAAAATGTAAGATTTAAAAGCACAATACAGCTATATTTAGAATATAATAGTCAATCTTTAGAACATAGAAGATTAAAACATTTAGTATAATATTTAAACTTTTGAACATAATTTAGAACATTATATAATAAAAAAAGTCTATTTTAGAACATAATAAACATACATTAGAACATAACAAAAAATTAATTTAGAACATTAGTGTATAGCAATTCAAACATGAGAGTTCATAATTTTAGAATACAAGAAGTAACTTTAAAACATAAGTAATTACAACATAATCATATTATTTAGAACATATGCACATAATGTAGAACATAATCATACAATTTACAACATATGCACATAATTTAGAACATAGCTAATTTCGAACATAATCATATTATTTAGAACATATGCACAAAATTTAGAGCATAACTAATTAGAACATAATCTTATAATTTAGAACATTAGTGTATAGCAATTCAAACATGACAAATCATAATTTTGAACATAACATTGATAATACTTATGATTTTAGAATATGATTTTAGAACATAACATTCTACTACTTACGTAGAATTAATATGGATTGGTAAATCCAATTCCAAAAAAGCCTCCAAAACCAATGTTCCGAATAGCTTGCTTTTTGTTTTTCCGAAAGATTTATCACAACATCCTTCATGAATTGAGTAGGAGGTACTCTTTGATAAGGTTGCCTCTTAACTAGTTTATCTTGCTCATTAGCTTCTACTACTTGGACATCCTCACCATCTTCTTCTTTTTCAATCTTTCTTTTCTTCTTCTTCACATCCTCACCATGAATAGATAAACATAATTAGAACATAGATAAGCAAAATTAGAACATAAGCGTGCACTTTAGAACATAAAAATAAAGATTGTAAAGATTAAAGAGTATTATTACCTGAGTTTGATTTTTTTTATTGATTTTTTGTTCCTCCTCACTATCATCTTCCATCTCCTCTTTTTCATCTTTCTCTTTCATCTTTACATCACCCTTATTATCATCCTCACCATCATCTTTACTATCATTATTCTTGTCATCATCCTCTACATTATTACCCTCTTCTTCTTTTTGATCTTTTCCTTCTTCTTGATCTTTTTCTCTTCCTTTCTTTTTTTGCAATTTTCGAGGTGGTTGAAGCCTTGTTGGAAGTTTTCTATGTCTTATAGCAATACTTTTACTTTCAATATGCTTCTCAAATTCCGATCTATCAATTACTTCCGCTTCAACGTTTTCAACTTCCTTTAAAAACAATCAAAAATAATTAGAATATTATTAACATTAAATAGAGTGCAAATATAAAGGGATAAGATAAACATAAACTATAATGGATACATTTTAGAACATAATACAAATCTTCAGAACATAAGAGAAACTTTAGAACATA